TGACTCGAAGTCATAATTGTGTCACTAAATTTTTCGAAAATTCACATGATTTTAGGATATAGATACACGGATGAAGATTGACAATGCTAAGGAGTATTCAGAATTGTACCTCCCCACCAGCAATGACTCTCCAAGTAGACAAGCTCTACATGTTGGTAGACTAGTTGCTCTAACTCTTCAATTAATGCTTCCAATAATGCTATTATGTTATGGTATTTTTGATCAGGCAATCCCAACTTTGTGTATTTTGAAAAGTTGTTTATGTTATTATTGAAAAATAAGAATCTAAAAGTATTTCAATATGAAGTGCGTCAATTTTTAAAAAATACATGAAATCCATTTCCAAACCATTCATATAAATCATTTTGTCCATTAGCAATTGTTGATTTTTGGAGGAAAAAATTATAAGTTTATTTCTCACCTTTTATATCATTACACTTAGGGTATTTATTCAATTACTAACTTATAGATAGTAAAATTCTTATTCTATTAGAATTCTAATTATATAAAATTGTTATTCTCATAAAATTCTAATTACATACTACGAAATAATAAACTAAAATAATTAAATAATAAAATATAGTAATCAACACCCCTCTCAAGTTGGTGCAGGGATACTACACAAATCCAATTTACAGATCAAGTTTTAAAGAGCCATCCAACAGTTTATCAATGTCAAAGAATGGCAAGAAAAAGTGCTACAAACTGGAACCAGATCTGCGAGATAGCAGTTTTGCTCGGGTTCACCTCAAAAAGGGCTCAGGTTCAACTCAAAAAAGACTCGGGTTTGACTCAAAAAGGACTCAGATTTGGTTCAAAACGGCTCAGACTCAGCTCAAAACGGCTCGAAGTCAGCTCAAAAAGGCTCGAAGTCGGCTCAAAAAACAGCTCGAACTTAACTCAAAAAACAACTTGAACTCAACTCAAAACGGCTCAAACTCGGCTCAGGAATATCTGCACGACACGACGCAACTAGAAAAGCTTCCTATCCGCGTGTGGATCTACGCGCGACGGATCTGATCTGGGAGAGAGAGAAAGAAAAGGAAAGAGAGAGTCATGCGGAGAGATCTGTCCGACGGATCTGATATGGGTGAAGCAGATTGCAACAACGGCATGGCAATGCAAATCTCGTATGCGCGAAAGGAGAACGGCAGCCACTAGCCGTCCCTGCACCAGATGCGACCAGACAGCGAAGAAGAAGAACCGCGTGATGGTGAGTGGCCAAAGAAGACGATCGGCATACAGCGGCCCGATGCACGATTCTACGAACTCATGGCTCCTTCCGGCGCCCCCCTACTTCCTGTTTCAATCTCCCCCTCTGATTTGGCTCTCTTCCTCTTATCTGGCTTTTTTTTACTATTTTTAGAGTTTGAAAAAAATCCTAAAATTAGAAGTCTAAAATAAGTTCATTTGGTTTTGATACCATGTTGATTTTTAAAGAAAAAATAATAATTTAATTTCTCACCCTTTATGTTATTACACTTACGGTATTTATAAAATTTCTAACCTACATATAGCAAAATTTTTATTCTATTAGAATTCTAATTATATGAAATTATTATTCTCATAAAGTTTTAATTACATAATATCAAATAATAACTAAAATAATTAAATAATAAAATATGATATTCAACAACAATATCTCATAGTAATGTATGGGGATCAATTCGTGTTAAATATGTAGTTGGGTTTTATTAGTTTGTATCATTTATTGATGATCTTACTCGTTTAATATAGTTTTTTCTTTTTTTTTGAAATTAAAAAAAAAAATTATGTTAAACAAGTGCGATCATCAAGAAAAATCTAGGTTGTTTTACTAAAAGAAAAGTCAGAAGTTAGGCAAGTATTCAAACATTTTCACAAAATGATCCAAAATCAATTCCAAACAAAAATCAAAATCTTCATAACGAATAAATGTCAAAGAATTTTTCAATAATGTTCTGGGAAGTTATGTGTTGGATCAAAGAATTATTCATCAAAGTTCTTGTGTAAACACACAATAACAAATGAAATTGCAGAGAGAAAAAACAGAGTGTCCTTAAAGCCCTGTCAATTCTTTGAGAATTCCAACCTGTTCCAAAACATTTTTGGTTGGATGTCATCCTTACTGCAGCTTAGCTCATAAACCAGATGTCATCTGTTTTCTCAATTTCTAAACCTCATTCCAAGTTCTTAAACATTATCCTTCTTTCTGCTCTATGTTAACAACTCCACTAAAAGTATCTAGATGTTATGCCTTTGTCCATATCCGCCTCATAATCGTGGAAAACTTGACCTCAGCGCTATAAAAAGTATTTTTTGGATACTCGCTAAATCGTAAAAAGTACAAATATTATTCTCTAACCCAAAAAATATATTACTATTCTATGGATGTCTTTTTCTTTGAGAATCGACCACTTTATCCCAGCATTGTCATTCTAAGGGAGAGAGAAAA